GCTGGTGTGTTATGATCCAGAGGTTCTGAATTTGAGATGCTGGGCTCAGCCAGAAGCGGCGGCTCCCTGGGCTCTGAAGAGCCAGGGCGTCTGCCGGCGGTGCCGCGGAGCATGAGAATGCGGCTCTCTGGGCCCGCGGGACTGAGCATGCTGACCACACACCCCCCTTCAGCAGGTGCTGGGGCGCTGCTCACGCACGACCTTGGATCCTGGAGGCTGTTATCAAAGACTGCTGCTTTTCCCTATGTGTTTTATATGGTTGAATGCTTTCCACAAACCTGAATAAGACCTAAAAACATTAATAATAATAATAATAAGCGCAGGCAGGCATCCCTCCCCGGATGCACCTGTGACCCCAGGGTGGGCCCACAAGGAGCTGAGGCCGAGTGCTGCCAGCACCCGGGGAGTTTGGGAATGGGTCCGTCCCAGGCCGGCCTCTGACCAGATGCCGGCCCCGACCAACACCCTGATTTCTGTCTGTGAGGCTGAGCAGACCAGCCTTAAAGGCCGTGCCCGGATGGACCGCTGACCCACAGACACCACGGACAGTAAGTGTGTGTGTTTTAGGAGGGGGGTTTGTAGTGGTGTGTTGCACGCCACGAGGTCCCTAACACAGAAAGTGGCTGACCTCAAGGCGTCTTGAGGGACTTGGCCCCCAGGCCCCCGGGAAGGCCCGTGAGAGGGTTTCTACAGACCCCACGTCCATGCTCACAGCCAGTGGCAGCTGAGAGGGAGCAGCTCACAGGATGGGGGACCCTCTGCCCCCTCCCACTGTCCCCTCCCTGCCTGACCCTGGAAGAACGGAGGATGGGCGAGAGCCGAGAACCTCCACCCCCCCTCCGCAGGCTCAGGGAGAATCATTGACTAGGGTGTGGATTGAAATTCTGAGACTAGATTGGATGGAGCTTTTAATTATTTTTTCATCACATGAAATTCACCATTTCAAATATTTGAAGGATACAGTGAATGCTACAATGGCTTTTAGTACCTACATCGTGGTACACGATCTCCTTCCAAATCACTTAAAAATTTTTTAATGTTTTTTATTTATTTCTGAGAGAGAGAGAGACAGCGTGAGCAGGGGAGGGTCAGAGAGAGAGGGAAACACAGAATCCGAAACAGGCTCCAGGCTCTGAGCTGTCAGCACAGAGCCCGATGCAGGGCTCGAACCCACGAACCGTGAGATCATGACCTGAGCCGAAGTCGGACGCTCAACCGACTGAGCCCCCAGGCGCACATGGGGGAGGGGCAGAGAGAGAGAGAGGGAGAGAGAATCTCAAGCAGGCTCAGCGCTGTCAGCACACGCCTCCAACCCATGAACCAGGAGATCATGACCTGAGCTTAAACCAAGAGTCGGAGGCTTAACGCAGGCGCCCCTCCCCAGCTTCTAATATTTTATTTTATCTTATTTCAACCCCAGTGTGGTTAATCCAGTGTTAGCTTAGTTCCAGTTGTACAACATAGTGAGGCTTTTCAAAGAATGAAGCACGACCTTCAGTGCAGACTCTGGCTGCCAGGGAGCCAATTGTCAACGTGGGCAGCCACGGGGGCGGGGCGGGCGGGGGGGGGGGCGGACATTAGTTTTCTTTTGCAGGAAGCAAGCCCACTTTCCCCAGGGGTTGCTGGAGCTTTCCAGCCTGAGTGATGCTGATTCCTGTTAGGATCCATAGGAGCCCGGAGCTGGGAGGGATCCCTCCAGGGTGAGCAAAGCTTTCATCCTTCAACTCAAGTCTGTCTGGTTTATTCAACTGCCTGCGGGCGCTTCCGGGGAGAGGGCCCCACCCGCGGCCGCCTGGGGTGGGAAATCCCCACCGGCTCCACCTACGTCCCCACCTCTGCCCCCATCCCTGCCTCATGGAGGAGGGTCCCCAAAGTGGGCTGCTCTCGCAGCTTCACTCCTGGGGGTGACGGTCCCACAATGCTGAGCTCCACGCATCACGGACTCCATGCTGTGAACGAGACAGTCCATGAGCTCAGGCTTCTGTCCAGAACTTGTTTATTGCTTCTAAAGGGCTCTTTCTTCTTTAGGGGAATCTGTAGGGGTTTTTGTAGAGGTTAATAGGATATCCTCTGTGAATAGAGTTCTGCGTCTTCATGTACAGTTTGGATGCCTTTCTTTTTTTCTCTAGTGCACTCATTCCAGCTGATATGTGGCCTTTTAAACAGGGACCGCCACTTTTGAGGACCCTTCAAGGAGGGGACAGGAGACGGAGACCCATGTGGTGGAACCAGAGCCGGGAGCTGACTCAGACCCTGAAGTTTGGCTTAGTGATCTCTCTATAGGGGTCTCCTGTGACCTGCGGCTTCAGCTCAGACACCGAGTATGTATTCTAGGAAGAAACCTAATGCATTAAAACAGAAAAATGCTAATGCACGTTGAAGGATCGCATCTAGTAGAAGTCTCTGTTCTCGTTCTGAACGAGCCCTGGGTGAGATGCGGGCAGGTGCGTATAGACCGCAGCGTGTTGAGTCAGATCCCACTTCCTGAAGCTGGTGCTCAGGTGAAAGTCTGCCTTTCCTCTTTCCTGCTCCTCTAGTCTGCGTGGTGAAACGGTAGCGCTGGCTGCTACGCTGCCACAGGTTGGTTTACAGTGGTTGTTTTTATAAAACAACTTTTCTTTTATTGTGCTAAAACGCACCTAACAAAATGTCCCATCTCAACCAATATTAAATGCACTATTCTGTAGCGTTATGTGCGTGCGCATTGTCGTACACTCATCCCCGCCATATGCATCTCCAGAACGTTCCATCTTCCCCAACTGAAACTCGGTCCCGTGAAACACTGACCCCCATCCTGTCCCAGGCCCTGGAGCCCAATATCCTACTTTCTGTATTTACGGACTGGATTCCTCTAGGCCCTCACAGAGGTGGAATCATCCAATATTGTCCCTTTTGTGGGTGGCTACTTCACTCAGCTTCGTGTTCTGGAGTCTCAGCCACATAGTAGCAGGATTTCCTTGCTGCTTAAGGTTGAATCATATTCCGCTGTGTGGATGGACTTTAGTTCATCCGTACATCTCTTGATGGACTCTGATTATTTCCACTTTTTAAAATTTTTTTTAAATGTTTATTTCTAGGAGAGAGAGAGAGAGAGAGAGAGAGAGCGTGAGCAGGGGAGGGTCAGAGAGAGAGGGAGTCACAGACTGAAACAGGCTCCAGGCTCTGAGCTGGCAGTCAGCACAGAGCCCGACGCGGGGCTCGAACCCACGAACCGCGAGATCATGCCCCGAGCGAAAGTCGGACGCTTAACCGACTAAGCCACCCGGGCGCCCCTACTTCCACTTTTTAGCTCTCATGAATAATTGCTGCAGTGAACACGGGTGTGCAAACCTTTCCTCAAGGTCCTGCTTTCGATTGTTCGGCATCTCGAGGGGAGTGAGAAGCAGCAAAGGCCCTACCAGGACCCCCGTGATCCTTGGGAAAGCAGCACCGTCAGAGCCCTCACGACAGAACCACTGTCTCTGCCCGGGGACGGGTCTGTGAGGTGGAAGTAGCAGACGCTTGACCCTCAGCTCCAGCCACGCCAGAACCAGGACTTCTTCCTCCCAAGTCCCTTTCTTGCGCCGCCTGTTTCACCTCTTGATTCCCCAGCAACCACCAAGAGTTTATGTCGGATGGTGACACAAAGCATTGGTTACTCCCAAGGCTTAAGCGGCAGCGCTCAGTGTTGGGTTTAGTGGTACAGAGGATCGATACCGGGTGCGAAGTGCTCGGGATGGCCCTTGGCAGGCGGTTAGGAAGATGTGTTTGACTAAAGAGCAAAAATGCTCCTTTGGGACTCATCCCTTCTTATCTGCCACCTGGGCTATGGGATCTGCTTCGAGAGGTGTCTTTATTTATTTTTGACAGAGAGAGACAGAGAGAGAGAGAGAGAGAGAGAACAAGCAGGCGAGGGGCAGAGAGAGAGGGAGACATAGAATCCGAAGCAGGATCCAGGCTCTGAGCTGGCAGCACAGAGCCCGACGTGGGGCTTGAACTCTTGAACCTCGAGATCATGACCTGAGTTGAAGTCGGCCCCTCAACCGACTGAGCCCCCCAGGCGCCCCCAGAGGTGTCTTTAGATGACTTTGCACCACAACCTCGTAACCTCATGTTAGGAGATGAATTTCGCCTCATGTCCGCACACGTGGTGTGGAGGTCTAACCCGAGTGCCTCAGGCTGGGCGCCCTATTTGGAAATAAGATGTAATTATCTTATTCGCGTTCGTCATGAGCTACGACGAGATCATAGCGGACAAGGATGGGCCCTGAACCAACATGCCTGGTTATAAAAAGAGGAAATCTGAAAAAAATGAAATCTCGCCCTTTGCAACAACGTGGATGGATCTGGAAGGAAAATGCTACGTGAAGTCGGTCAGAGAAGGACACATACCACAGACCTCACTCATATGCGGCTTTTGAGAAGCAAAACAAATTAACAGAGAAAAAGAGAGACCCAAGTCTCTCGTCCAGAGGACAAAGAGGCGGTCACTGAGGGAGGTGGGCGGCCGCACGGGTGACCGAGGCCGGGGCACAGAGACGAGCGCGGTAAGAACGGCCGGCACCGGCGATCGCTCTGGAACGCCGGGAAACGGTGCCCGCACGCTAACTGTGCCAGAACTGAAACGTCGACAGACGTACAGCTCCGGGGGAGGCCGGACACGCGCAGGCGCGGCGGGAGAGGGGCGAGGGCAGGCCCTCGGGTCGGCGGGCGGCCGCCGGAGCCGCACGCTCAGAGGGAAACCTCCCCGCCGGCGTCTTCATCTTGGACTATGGCTTCCGGGACGGGAGGGAACTGAATTTCCAGTGTTTCGATGTCTTTCATACAATCACACGTCCGTATAAGGAAAAGGGATCCGGTGGAGGCACCGGCCATTCGGCCACCGGGCCGCGGGCGGCGGGGCGGCGGGGCGGCGGGGCGGGCCGGGCGCTGCCTCCGGCGCCTGGGAACGCGGACGCACGTCACGCCGGGGGCGGGGCTTGCAGTCAGGTGACTTCTGCCCGGGCGGGGGAGCCGGCGGCGGCGTGCGGGTCTCATTAGCGTCCAGGGTGAGGAGCGGACGGGATGGACGTGTGGTGGGGGGCCCGGTGGTGGTGCGCACTTCCGCTGCTGCTGCTGCTGCGCGCGGCCGGGGTGAGTAGGCCCGGCGGCGGGGAGAGGCCGGGGCGGCGGAGGGGGCGATGGGTCGGGGAGAAGCCGGGGAAGGGTCGGGGGAGGGCGCGGAGGCGCGGGCTTGCCCGGGCATGGCCGTCCTCGGGGGCAGACGCGGAGGCGAGCGCTCAGATTGAGGTGGGGGTGCGGGGGCCGGGGAAGGAGGCGCGGGCGGGGTCGGGGGTGGGGGGGGAGCGGCGAGTGGGGGGGGAGCGGGGGTGGGGGGGAGGCGCGCGCCCGGATTGGGAGTGGCGGCCGTGGNGGGGAGGCGCGCGGTGGGTGGGGGGGAGGCGCGCGGAGAGGTGCGGGGAGACCGCGTGTCTTCCCTCGGGATTGGCGGCGCCCGGCTCTCCGGCCCCGGGGCGTGGTAACCCGCGGCTTCGCCGCATCCCGGCGCCCGGGCGTTGGGGGGCGGGGCGGGGGGGAGCGGGGGGGTGGGAGGCGCGCGGAGAGGTGCGGGGAGACCGCGTGTCTTCCCTCGGGATTGGCGGCGCCCGGCTCTCCGGCCCCGGGGCGTGGTAACCCGCGGCTCCGCCGCATCCCGGCGCCCGGGCGCTGGGGGGCGGGCCACGACTGCGAGTTCCGGGCCTCGGTCGGGGGTGCGGGGCGATCGGCGAGCAGCTGGAGGAGCGCGCCCGGATTGGAAGTGGCGGCCGTGGCGGGGATTCTCGAACTTTCTTTAGTAGGTCCGGCCTGTTAATTCGGTGCAGATCGCCCCGGCCGTGTTTTCTGCCGCCCGGCATTCGCACAGCAGTGGTTTGGTGCCGTCTCTTTCAGGTGTTTCCGAGAAGCGGTCACGCTCGCCTGCCGCAGACTCTGATTTCTGCGCGGGGAGCAGCCTCCGCGCGGCGGGTGCAGCCCGGCGTGCGGCCGGAGACCCCCTGGCGCGCCGGTCAGAACCGGTCAGAACAGGTCAAGGACCGCGGCGGGGAGGCTCGGGCTCTCTGCACCCAGTGCCTTCCTGTAAGCCAGTTTGGCTACAGCGTCGCCGTGTTTCTGCCCTGGAAAGGATGTCTTTTCCGGTGTTGGTGCTTTTATGAAATGCTGGTCGGTGTGTCAGCTGCAGGTCGCTGGTGAAAATCCCGAGTTCAGGCCGGGCTCAGTTTTTCTGCCCGGCGGGCGTTGGTGGCCTGACGCCTTCCCGCCGCGCCCTCACCCTGGGGCTGCCTCTGCCTCCGCGTTTGCCAGGGCTGCGTAGGCCGTGCCCAGGCTTTGCCCCCGAGCACTCCGCCTGCGCTGCGTCGCGGCTGCCCGGCTGCACGTCTCTGTCTGTCACATCTGCCGTCCACACTGGCGGCTAGCCCTTCTCTGCTCGGGACCCTTTGTTCCCAGGTAACGCTGTGTGGCTTAGGACCGCTTTTGACAGCTGAAAAACTATCCAGAGAGCCTTTTCTGTTTCGTTCTTTCGCGTGTGTGTCAGTTTTTCTTTTCTGTTTGTATAGTGGTAGTTCACTTACAGCGTGTTAGTTTCAGGTGTGACGTTTCACGTGTTTACAAAACGATCAAGACGGTGGCTCGTCCCCATGCTGCACCTTCCACCCTGTGCTGGACTTTTCATCCCTGCCACTTCTAACTGGACGATTGTATCTCCTAATCCCTTTCACCAATTTTGCCCATCCCCCTCTCTTCTGGCAACCCCAGTTCTCTGTATGGACGAGTCTGTTTTTGTTTTGTTTCTTCATTTATTTTTTAGGGCCCACATCTCCGTGAAATCCTAAGGCGTTTGTCTGACTTGCGTCACTTAGCGTTAGACACTCTGGGTCCATCCATGTTGTTGCAAATGGCAGGATTTCCTTCCCTTTCATGGATCAGTAATATCCCACTGTGTGTGTGTGTGTGTTTGTGTGTACGTGTACACACCACATCTTCAGTGTCTGTGGATGGACACTGAGTTGTTTCCACATCTTGGCTATTGTAAATCAGGCTGCAGTGAACATGGGGTTGCAGATGTCTTTCTGAATTAGTTTTCATTTTGTTCAGGTAAACACCCAAACACAGAATTGCAGGATTATATGGTAGTTCTACTATTTTTAGTTTTTTGAGGAGCCCGAATCTGCATTCCCCCCAAGCGCGCTCAAGGGCACACCTTTCTCCACATCCTCACCAACATTTGTTATTTCTCACCATTCTGACACGTCAGGACTTTTCACTGTGGTTTTGATTTGCATCTGCCTGATGATGAGCGATGTTGAGCATCTTTTCACGCGCGTGTTGGCTCTCTGTCTCTGTTGGAGGAATGTCTCCTCAAGTCCCCTCTCCATTTCCGTTTGTCTTTTTATTATGGAGTTGCGGGAGTTCTTTACATCTTGGGGATGTCAACTCCTCATTGGATGTATCGTGTGCAGTATCTTCTCCCATTCCGTACATTGCCACTCCATGTGGTTGGTGACACCCTTCCCTGTGTCACAGGAGAGCGCCTTTTATTCCAGTAAACTTGGCCTTGCATCAAAATGTGTGGTTGGGGTTTCTTCAGCATACTTTGCTCCACCGGCTTCTCGTCATACGTGCTGAGACTTTGCTCTTGCGCACGCGCACCTTCTGGAATTAGAGTTAGTGTGCCAGCCTGCCTTCTGGGGTGCAGGGGAAAGGCCTCTCTCCTCCTCCACGCGGCTGCATCATAGCCACTGGGCCCAGTGTTCTCAAGACCCAGTGCCTTTTCACAGCAGGCTGCAGGCTGGGGCCTGGGTGGTTCTGGGGTCTTCGGCAGCCCCTCCCAGAACCTTCCATTCTGTGAGGCTGGGGTCTCCTGGAAATGCTCATGGCAGCTGGGTGGCATGTTCTCGTTTACTTAAATCCTTAGCTTCTTGCAGGCTCGCCGGGGTTTCGTACACTCGGGTGTCCTGGGGGTTCACAAATGCTCGTTGGTTGCAGTTCCCATGTGGCTTTGCGTGTCTAGTGGGAAATTCCCTAAGTATCTCCTGGCACAGAAGTGAAGGGGCTGGAGGGGACTTGGAGCCTGAGGGGAGGGCAGAGAGGAGGGCTGCTGGAGCCAGGAGGGGGACCCCTGCTGGGGGGGAGCACCACGGGGGTGGTGGGCCATGGGGGGGGGAGAATGGGGAACCCTTGGTCAGGTGCTGGAGGGGGTGAGTCGGGCAGTCATCCTGGTGTGAAATTTATGAAGGCACCGACAAAGCTGAGGAAATGGGGTGAATAATATTTTGATGTGATCTTTTTTGAAAAGTGAAAATCTATGCAAAAAATCCTGAAGTAGAAACAAAGACATAATGGGGCCCTGCTCTTGGCCTGAGCCTGCCCACGTTCTTCCTGTCCTCGTATTCCAGCCCGTTCCAGGAAAAACTTTATTCACAAAACCTGGCAGCACTTTGCTGATATCACGTTTTGAAATATTGCATCACGCGGTGTTTTACCTTGATGGCTGACTGTTGGGGGGCGGGTGGCTTACATTCCGCCCCGCCCTTGTCCGGCCCCCGGAGGTCACGCCATGTACTGGGGATCCCCCAGGGCGCCACCACTGTTCCAGCTGGGACCAATCCCTCTCTGTTTGGAGCGGGCGGGGAGTTGGTGCTCTGAGTACCAGATGGGGGTGGCTGGTGGGGTGGCTGGTGGGGTGGCCGCTGCACCGCCTTCATAGGGGCGTGGCTGGGGGCGGGACACAAATTTCCTTTAGTTTTGTTCCCTCTGCTGTGATTGGGCCGGTGCCCACTCAGCCAGGAGCCTCAGCCAGATAGGAAATAGCCTCCGTTAGGTTCTTGACCAGCAGAGTTCCAGAAAGGAAAGCCGCTTTGCTCATGTGAGTTTTGTTTGTTTTCTTCCTTTTTTAAAGTTTTTAATTTTTCAGGTTTCGGTTTGAAATAACTGGAGACTTTTAAAGTGGCGAGTAGGTCACGTGGCTGTACAACAATGTGAACGGGTGTCCTGGACGCTTGTAAACGGGTGGGGGGGGGTGTTAGCACCATAAAAACGGAAAAATGATACTCTCCGAAAAGAATCCTGAAATAAAATAAAATAGCACCGACTCCTGTGGTTGCTGCCCAGACCTGCCAGAGGGTGGCAGGTGCGCCACGATCATAGCGGGGGGTGGGGGAGGGGCTAAGGCAACACCCTTGACTTTGCTGTCCTGCTGGTGCGGGGGGGGGGGGGGAAGGGGGGGCAGAGTGTGTGTCTTCTGTGACCTTCACGCTGTTGAAGGGTCCTGAGCCCTCGTGCCGCCGAACACTCCTTAGGTCGGGTCTGTGGTTTCTGAGTGATTGGGTTGGATTAGAAGGGAAAACCCTGGCCAGGTGGGGTTTGTAAGAGCTATGCCTATAAAAGATAGCAACGTAGCCGGCGGGACGCGGATGGGAGATGGCAGGCTTCCCAGGGGACAGTGAAGTGACCTCAGCACAGCCTGCACCAGAGCCTTGCTGGTGTGTGTGTCTGAGGATGTGCTGTGAGTGGCAGCTCGGGGGGCACAGAGAAATGTCCCAGAGAGGCAGGTTTGCAAATACAGACCTCACAGATCCGTAGGGAACCCCTCCTCTCCCCGCCGTGAGGTCGCTGTGTGCTTCTCTGCGCACGTGTGTTCCGGCAGATGAAGTGTATGCTCTGTCTGTAGCAGCGGCCCCTCTTGATAATGCCCGTCTCCCCTTTCTGATCGAAGGTGGCCCCGGCCCTCAGCGTGGCACCGTGTGACCTAAATGAATACCAGCCGGAAGGCAGCAACCTCTGCTGCCAGATGTGCCCTGCAGGTGAGTCCCAGGGGACCTTCCGGAGCCTGTGGGCTGCCCGAGGTGGGGGGAACCGCGCTGGCTGGCGCGGGTGGACCTCTTCTAGGCAGCTGCCCACCTGCCCCTCCTTGCCCGGGGACTCTCACACGAACTGGGTTGTGGGCTTGTTTCGGTGGGTGAGGCCGGAGCGGGCTGGAGGGAAAGGTGGGCGTGCCTGCCCGGGCTGGGCACCCCCGTCTGCCCTCCTGTCAGGGTGAGTGGATGCCGAGGCAGGGAGGCTCTAGCAGGGCTGGACCAGCACCGCCCTCGCCCGCCACACGTCCGCGGAGCCTTCCGGAGGCTGCTCTGCACTTGCCCCGTAAAGCGGACGGCGGGCCGCAGGCTCCTAGCGCCTGCTCCTCCTGCCCTGTCACCGTCGCAGCGGCCAGGGCTTTTTGGGGACCCTGGTCCGCCCGCGGCCCCCACACCCACGCAGACAGAGGTGCACACATTGTCGGTGCATGTTTGTGGGGCCGCCAGTGTTCTCTGGAAGTCAGCCCGGGCCCCTGGGGGGGCGAGGGGCAGGCACCCAGGCATCGTCGGCCTCTCTGGCCAGCGTGCGGGTCCACAGCCTCTGCTTGTGGGGGCCGGGAATGGCCCGCGAAAGCCAAGGGACGCCAGGTCCCTGACTCCGTGGACACGGGGGGCCAAGTGTCTGTTCAGAATGTTCAGGGAGGTAGTTGGTGAGGGCTGGTCCTCCTCATGGAGAGCCCTCGGGCTGGGTTGGATCTGCTCTGAGCCCCCACCTCACCTCTGCATTCTCCCCTTCATGTAGGCCAGTATGTCTTGGATCACTGCACTGTGAATCACACGGCCCCTGTATGCCAGGTCTGTGAACATGGCACCTTCCTCCCCTTCCGCAGCGGGGAGACCAGTTGCCAGCCCTGTGTCCAGTGCCGGCTGGGTAAGTGGGTTGCAATTGGGCGCCTGTGGGCCTCGCCCTGAGGGAGTTAGCACGGGTGAACTTGTGTTTTTATCATGACGAGGGGTGTGTGTCCTTAAGGAATCCATCCATGCGGTAGCAGGATCTTTGAGATGTGTACCAGCAGCGTATGCAAAAACTGGTCTCAATTCCAACTTATCAGCAACAAGTTATCTTTAGGTGTAATTTTTTTAAAAGCTACCATTTGCGTTAGCCGAGACAAAGAAACTAAGATTCTTTGAGAGAAATCCAGCAGAGGACGTATAAAACGTTTACGTGAACGAATAATGCGGAAATCCAAACTACAGAGAAGTACAAGATGGTAAGAGGGCTCCACGTTGAAAGCTCCGTCTGCTCTCCATGAAACGGTTCTCCGATTTGGTGCATTGCCGGTGACGTTCCCAGCAGGATGTAGTGACTCCTCATGCAGGGTGTGTACTTCGAACATACCATTTTTCATTTAACACACGCAAAAACATCCTCACAAGGACGTTCATGGAATTCGATGAGCGGACCATTGCCGAAACCCTCCAGAGGAGTGGGAAGCGCAGTGGGCTGTCCCGAGTGATCATACTTTGTGGCGACAGAGACAGCGTGATACGCACGAAGGGGAAGACAGCCTCACGGATGCGGAAGGTGGCCTGTGGCCCCATGACCCACCCATCTATAGGAGGAAGGGTGGAATTTCAAACGACCTGTTCTGCAGCTCGCACGAGTGGTTCCTGGTGTGTCGCGGTCCATCGGTGAAAAGTACTACTTTGAGGGGAGGACGGAAGGACCCTTTAGGACCACGGGGCAGTGATGGAACGTCTTACGGGATTTATAAAAACCCTAAACCGTAACCACGAGGTGGGTCACCATGTCTGCATTCGAATTGACCCAACTCCTGTTGGTTGTAAGGCACGAACGTTAAGCCGCGAAGGAGAACCCTGTCTGTGACCCAGCCCACGCGTAATTCACGCCTAGAACAAGTCGATCATAAGGTTTGGAAAAATGAAACGCTTCGAGTGGAGACAGACGTGGTGAAAGAGGTAGGGCACGGAGCACCAGTAAATGTGAAAAGCACTGAAGTGGACGGACGGACAGACGGACAGACGTGCTGTCTCCTGGCAGACGGATGGAGTTCCGCTGTGGGTGCCCAGCGCTCATGGGGACCAAGAACAGCGAGTGCTCATCCCCCAAGGGAGAAGTAGGCGTCCACACACCCTGCACACGGCGTTGGCTGCCCACCCGCCCCACGGCCCCGTCAGACCTGGACCAGCTCTTGGCCGTACGTGCTGAGACATGGGGAGGGTCTGTAGTCACGGAAAGCTGGCAGCAACCCGAGTGTCCGCCCACCCAGGGGTGGGTGTCCGCAGCAGGAGGCCACGGAAGCCGCCTGGCGTGCACGCTGTCTCCCCAAACCCGTCTGGTTTGCGGAAGCACAAGGGCAGAGTGGCGCCATGGAGGATTGGACTTGGCATCGAGCTGCGGGCGTGGCTGTGTTTTATTTCCATCTGTATCTCGACTACTGTTCTTTGACACCAGCGCTGTGGGAGGTTCTGGAAGGGTGGTCATCAGCGTGGCCGCCGCGGTTCCTGTTGGCTGGTGGAGGGGGCCCTCTGTGCCATGCTCTCCCTGAGGTTTTGCTCGCATGGCACACGTGGTAGCTGTGTGCTTTTGTTTGTGGGGCAGACAAGGTGAAAGGTACTGTGTGGGCTGGCTCCGAGGAGCTGGCTCCAGCTGCAGGGTTGAGGGGTGGCTGTTAGCTCCTCTCTGCCCCTGCTTGGAAGGGAGGGTGAGGACAGGTTCCATGCCCTCGACCACGGTTCTGGGCATGGCCCGGTGTGGCAGGGGGTTTCCCCGCCGCCAGTGCTGACCCACAACCCTCTCCCTTCAGGAGATCAAGAGGTCGTGGCCAAGTGTTCTCCCACCAGCAACGAGCAGTGCCGATGCAAAGAGGGGAGCTTCTACTGCAATTCCGTGAACTGCGTGGAGAACTGCCTCCGGTGTACAAGGTCCTGGGGCACAGGCGTGGGCCCGTCCTCCCTCCCAGTATGACAGACCCCAAGCCCCCGCGGTGTTGGAAATGGTCCTGACATACACGTAGCGAGGAGGCCGTAATGGGTAGAGGGTGTGGGAGGGGACCAGTCTCTGAAGCAGAAGCCCAGTGAGGGGGTAGGGAGCCATAGAGTGTTCTGGGGGAAGATCGGTCTAGGCAGGTAGAATGGCAGGATGGCACCCTGTGGCAACGCGGGACGACCGCTGTCCCCTTAGGGGCCCTGTGGCTGCTCTAATGAAGGGCTACAGCTGGGTAGCTTCGGGAAAACCAACAGAGGTGTGTTCTCTCCCAGCTCTGGACACCAGGAGTCTGAAATCCAGGTGCGAGCAGGGCCGTGCTCCCTCCGCAGGCTCTAGGGGAGGATCCTGCTTCACTTCTTCCAGCCTCTGACGTTCCGAGTGCTCCTTGATGCTCCTTCGCTTGCCTTCAGTCTGCTTCTGTCTTTGCGAGGTCACCTTATGCGTTGGGGTCTCGGTGTCTGCACAGCCTCTCTCTGTCCCAGTACGAGTCCTTCCTCCAAGCACCCCGGTCACTGATCCAGGCCCAGTGTAGTCTGGTGCAGTCTCATTGTAACAGGATTATGTGTGCGAAGACCCAGCTTCCTGATGAGGTCATCTTACGAGGTTCTGGGTGGGGCTTGGGGAGGATCTTACGGGGAGACGTTTATGGTGGCAAAGCCATGTAGAAAATAGCTCGTTTCTGGGCCACATTATAAACTAATACGATTCAGGTTCCTGTACCTGGTCGGTCCAAAGTCAGGACAGATTTCTAGGCTCTGGCTTCTCTGGGTTTGCTTGCTTGTCGTGTTCTCCGAGTGCTTCACCTTTGGCTTTCGCCACTTTCTTGGTGGACACAGGGCTCCAGCTGCCGTAGCTGTGCTCCTAGCCACACACAGCTCTGCCCAGGAACAGAGAGGGAGGCTCTTCCCATTTTTGTCACAGAGCACGGGACAGAGCGCTACTCTCCGTGAACCAGTTTGGCCCAGAGAGTCCGGGAGATGCCAGGCAGTGTTTGCCTGAAGGCCGGTGGGCCATTGTGGGAGTTGGGGCGCCTCCCCGGCCCCGGCTGTGAGTGGTGAGAAGGCTGCCCTGTGCCGTGCCCCGGGCAGGGGGAGGTCACGCTCCGGGTTTCTTACTCCTTCAGGTGTCCTGGCGCCATCCTGTTGCCTTGCACCGCCACCAGTGACACGGTTTGTGCAGCAGACCCTGACCCAGGGTGTCCAGGTGAGGAACTGAGCTCGACTCTTGAATCCAGGTCAGCAGACCTTTCCCATAAAGGTACAGAGCAGAGGCTTTGCGGGCCCTGCGGTCTGTTGTCAGGCCTCAGCTCTGCCGCCAAAGAAAAAGCTGGGACAGTAAGTGATCAGGTGGGCGTGGCCGGGTGCCACTAATGTGCTTGCCGGCACAGGCCGTGGGCTGGCTTCCCGCAGGCCATGTTCCTACTCCTCGGTCTCGAGTAAACACTCCTTGGTGACAAGCTGTAGCCTCCCCCGCTTTGCTCCTGGTTGGTGAGACTCAGGCCTACTGCACACTGAGTCACAGGCAGCCTTGTTCTGATTTCTGACCATTGTAGCCGACCCCCGAGCGTCGTGGGGTGAGGGGCGCCAGTTCCTGCGCCGTCGAAAACCCACGTGTAACCCGTGATCCCCACAACAACCTAACTAGGGGTAGCGCGCTGTTGCCTGGAAGCCGTAGCGGTAACCTGAGCAGTGACCGGGTCCCCTTTGCGTATTTTGTCCATAACACATGCTGGGTTTTCACAATATAGTCAACCCGAGTGAAGAAAACGGCAGTGGGGAAACGAAGGGAAAAGACGTTCACAGTATCAGGCTGTGTTCATAGTAACGGTCCACGGACCCTGGCAGTTGGAACCTGTGTTCCTGGGTCTGTATTTAAAACCGTTCGAAGCTCCCACGTTAGGGTAGGACCCCTTTGTGTCGGGAGCCTTTTTACTCCCGCTCAGGGGTCTCCTTATGGCCGAGGCTCTTCATCGAGCAAAGATAAAGTCCCTTTATCACGGTTCCCTGCACGGTTGCTCCCGGGCTCCGTGTGAGGAGCCCCGGCTCCGCTCGAGAGGCTCTCAGGCAACCTGCCAGAAGCTGCACGCTTTTCTGTTCTGACTGTGTTCTGTGATGAGCCTGGGATTGCTGTTCCGCACGCTGAGGGGTTGAGGGATCGAGGGGTCAAGATTTGGTGTGTTTTTCCCACATGTGCACACACGACCCAGGATCCTGTTTTGAAAACACGGTCCCTTCCACCTGCCGCCCGGCGCTGGGTTGTGAGGGCAGCGCCCAACTCCCGCCTGGTCTGGGCCACGCCCACCTTCAGAGCAGGCCTGACCGCAGAGGCCCAGGGTCCCCGGTCCTTCCTTCTGCACCGTCTTCTGTGTGTCGGTTCCCACTGCCCGATCGGCTTGTTGGTTTCCACAAAAGACTTTGATTCCTGTAACATGTACTTTTCAAGGATATTTTTATACCGGGAAAAGAAGGAAAAAGTAGGAAGGGCCCTATCTGAGAATAAAGAACATCTTTGGCACCAGGCGAAGTTTCGCCCCCTTGTCTGTCCTTCCCTGCACCGGCTGCCGACACCCGTGACATCGGGTGGCTGACCGGCCAGGCTCTGGCAGGTGTGACCTGTCCCCCGTGCCTGGGTGCCCCTGAGCGCTGTCAGTGATGTGATCTCACCAGGGTGAGACCAGGACTCCCAAGCGGTCGTGCCAGATGCCTCCCCAGGGTGGACCTACCCTGTCCCTCAGGCCACCGTGGGCGGGCCTTGTTCCAGTCAGGACTGGCCATCCTCCACCTCCTGCTGCGCGCTGTGACCGCTCACACCGGAGCCCCTAGCCCTCTCCTTCCTGCCTCCCGCTGAGCACGTTCAGGAGGGTGACCCATGGGGAGGGCTGGGGGCCTTTGTGTAGCACGTCCCCTGAATGAGGAAAGCGGGCCTGGCCCTCCTGTGCATCCTCTGCTTTGTCTCCTTCTAGAAAACAAATGTGGGTCTGAGTCCCCCCAACAGAATGTGGCTGTTCCCGTCGTCATCGGCATCTTCCTCACCCTCGGCATCGGCATCGCCATCGTTTACTGCTGTAAGAAGAAAGGCAAGTTAGCGTCAGGTCAGTCCTGGAGAAGCCAGGCCAGCAGGAGTTCAGAGGTGGATACTCGGGGTTAAGAGGCTCATGTTGGGGGCTTTTTGTTTATTTGAAAAGAAAAAAGTAAAATGTTTGATTTTGAGAGAGAGAGAGAGCACGAGCGGGGGAGGGGCTGGGAGAGAGAATCTGAAGGCACTCCAGTCTCGGAGCTGTCGGCACAGAGCCCGACACGGGGCTTGAACCCACAAACCGTGAGATTGTGACCTGAGCCAAAGTTGGATGCTTCACTGACTGAGCCCCCCCGGGGTCGCTGGAGCTGACTGTTTCCTTGAAGCCCGGCTCTGCTCCCTCTTGTGCCCGTGCTCCTGAGCTGAGGTCTCTGGCAGGGGGTGCCACCCGCTGCCCGCTCCCCAGCACACGGGTCTTGAGGACAGAATCTCGGGTCATCCGGCTGGAGATGCTGTATCTGGGGTGCTGTGTCCGCAAGGGGCTCCTGGCGGGAGGCGGGGGCGCCCACGAGCTGGCAGAGCCCCCCCAGGGCCGCTCACGTCCTGTGTCGTTCCCAGGTGTGCGGGTTTCTTACCAGCCGCTCGTCAGACTCTTGAAGGGTAAGTACTTGTTCTCGTCAGCTCAGGACATTCCTTTCCTCCCAGAAGTCACTGTCACCGCCGATAGCAACTGTGGTCATTTCTCTTCTTTTTGGTCTTCAGGAAGGTCGGACGGGACAGGCAGCCTTGTGAGTATCGCCCTGGGGTTTCTCTGAGGGTAGCGTCAGGCCTCGGTGGCAGCAGAGTCGCAGAAGATGCCCCGAGGTGGGGGGGGAGGCAGGGGGGACACGCAGCCGCCCCCTTCCCAGCTGCAGCTGCTCCTCCTCCTGCGGTGGCGTCTGCACGTGCGTCCTGGGGCTGCAGGTCACCACACGTCCGGAGCTCGTCACCTCCACGTCTGCGGCCACGACTGTGGCACTGCGTGTGCGCAGGGCCGGGCCGGCTCTTCCCGACGCTGTCAGGGAGGGGCCTACCTGCTACTCGGGAGGGGCTGGGAACCCTGGTGGCTGGGCGCTGTGTGTGTGTGTGGGGGGGGGTGTGCATCTCAGGGTCTGTGTCCTAATGGGACGTTCCGTCCTGGATTACGGCTTGCGCTAATCCCGTGTCCACCCCCTGAAGTCTGGTCCCATTTACAGGCACCCGGGGTTAGAACCTAGACACACAGCGAATCTCAGAGACGCTGCAGGTTGCGCCCCAGACCGCTGTTGTAGAGCAGGTGTCCCGGTAAAGCCGGGAGAGTTCTATTTATCCCATACCTCGGTCTCTTGGGTGTGTAACAGCCTTGACAACACAGACCGCGCGTAGCTTACTTGAAAAACACTTTGTCGCTAAGCGCTAACCGTCTTCTGAGCTCTCAGCAAGTTGTCCTCGCGGATCGCACATCACCAAATGCGGTCCTAACGAAACAGGTTGAGGTCCGGCAAGAATTGCTAGGGTGTGACAGAGAGACGCGGAGTGAGCAGATGGGGTCGGGACAATGGCGCCCACAGTGTGCTCAAGGCAGGGCCGCCACAAACCTTCGTCTGTAAAGGATCATACTTGTGGGCGCTGGGGGCTCAGTCAGTTAAGCATCCCTTCTGGGTTTCAGCTCAGGTCATGATCTTGCGGTTTCGTGGGTTTGAGCCCCGCATTGGGCTCTGTGCTGACAGCTAGGGGACTGCCCAGGTTCTCTCTCCCCCCCCCCCCTTCCTCTCTCTCTCCTTCACCCCTTCCCTTCCCCCTTCTATGAGATATGCCCGTGTCTTTGGGGAGCACCTTTCAACCCACCACAAGCCTGGGGTGGGGGTCTCGGGACCCCTCCCAAGCAGCTGGTGGCAGAACGGGGAGCTCAACCCATGCGGTGTTCCCTAAAGCTACGTCTCCTGCTTATTCATCAGACAGTTGACCTTTTCTCCTCAGAGCGGTGGCTCGGGAAGCACCCGTTGCCGCAGGCTTCTGTGACCAAGAGAAATGACTTTGTCCTTTAGCCGCGGAACAGCAGTCTGCAGCCTGAGACCGTGCGGCTGGAGATGCCTGAGCGGGCGGGGCCGGTGCCGGGCACAGACACCCAGCCCGCGGAGGAGAGCCTGGCCCTGATGCCCGAGGCCAGGCCCCAGCCACACCCCTCAGGGGAGCCCGAAGAAGGCCCCGAGCTCCAGGCGGGGGTGGTCGGCGGAAGCCCTGCAGCCCCAGAGCAGACGTTGGAAACTGCCGTTCCGGCCACTTCTGCTGCCCCCGCCCCCCCCGCCGCTCCCACTGCTCTGGGGCTCCAGGAAGGGACGCAGGTGTCCCTCTCGCTCAAGAGTTTAGAGGAGGTGAGTGAAGTGTGTGTGTGGGTCCAAATGACGACGAGGCGTGTGCTCAGTGGGCACTCGCTGTGCGCAGAGCTCCACATTAAGCACTAACGCGTGTGCTCTCGCGGCCCCTGCCGGCTCCGGTCCGCAGACTGGCGCCCGAGCACAGGCCGCCCGCCGGCCGCTTCCTGCCGCAGCTGCCCCGGATGGTCTGGTCCAGGCCTCCCCCCGCTGCAGCCGGTGTCTGGCCCCCTCGGGACTCCTCGGCTTGTGCAGGCATCACCCGGCCTCTGCCTCCCGCGGCCCCTCCTCCCGTACGCGTCTGTGTTCAGCGTTCCCCTCTTCCTCCCCGAGGGCCCGCCCTGCTGACCGCGTCCCAACCTTGTCATCCGCAGCGACCCATAGGCATAGGGCAGCCCATAGCAGTCCCCCAACCCACCTGGTGTCCCAAGGGGCTGTGACAGGGAGGGCGGCGCCAAGGCTCTGAGAGGGTCCTTGTCTGGGTACTGCGGCCGGAGGGAAGAGGCCTGGCTCGCCGGTGCCGCACACCAGGGCCTCCTGAGCACCCGCGGGTCTCCCGCTGCTGTGCCTGCCGTGCTACCCGGGTCGTGGGGCCGTGGGAGGGAGGGGCGGGAGGCTCGGGGCGAAGCCGGCACCGCGTCCACCTGTGCTCCCCCTTGGAGCGCAGGCCCCCCCCCCCCCCACGCTCTGCTGCAGGGCTGTGAGGGCCCGTCTAGAGTTGGTGACGCCCGAATAGGGCTTGACCAGCTGAGCAGATAATTGCCGAGTGGCACTGGTGAGGGAGGGGGCTTTTCAGGAAGAGAGCGGCCGCAGCCAGCACTTGGGGGAGGGGCAGGGTCTGTTTCTGAATTCTTCGGGAATCGAGGGGCACAGCCCCATGGAGGAGATCACGGGCCCCTGGTGGCTGTGATGTGGGCGGGGAGGTCGGGAACTTTCCTCCAGAGCCTGGGTTCCTGGGTTGAGTGTCGTTAGGCATCGTTTCCGGGACACAGTCTCTGACTTCAGGTTCTCCGGGGCTTCCGAGGGGAGTCAGGTAGAGAAGTTAGGACCCTGACCCACCTCAGCAGGTGGCCCAGAGGGTCCCTCGGGAAGTGTCACAGGAGCACACCCGTTCTTACCCTGTTTTACGGCTGAGCGGCCACTGGAGGGACGGGTGTCACGTGCCAGGCCAGCAGCGGGTGCGGGCGAGCCAGGGTCTGGAGGTGCGAATGCCCGCAGTAGGTGGCTGGCCCCGAACGGAAGCCTGACCTTCTCGGGAAAGGCCCCTCTCGGGCAGCCGGGCACCTGTGAAGGCCCTGTACTCACCGGCACTGGCCACACTAGGAAACTGCATTCACAGCGTCCTCCCTGCTGGTGTGACCTGGGGCAGGACGGGTCACCGCCAGTGACATGTTTCGGCCGTTCTCCGCCCGCCCGAGCAGGGGCCTCCGTGTCGCAGCAGCAGCAGCACGGAGCTCTCGCTGGGCTCAGGGCGGGCCGTGTCCCGGGAGCTCGAGCCGGGGGCACAAGCGGGCAGTGAGCTCCCTGCCGCCTGTGGGGGGCTCCCCGAAGACAGAGGCGCCCCTGCCCCTCCCCGCACCCCTCCCTGCACGTCGCGGTTCTGCCGTGCACACCACTCCTCCTGAACCCACCTTGTCTTCTCTTCACAGCGCTACAGGACGGAGTATTTCCTCAGCGATAAATCCAGAGAAGGTGCGTGATCTGAATTCCTCACTTGCAGTACCCGTTCGGGCGTCACCTCGTTTGGCCTGAACGGCAGGGCCTCGTGGCTTTGTTTCCGGGAACGCCTGTCTGCGTGAAGCCGCGGGGGACCTTCTGTCGGCTGGCCACGTGCTTTGTCACACCCTTTGATGGCGTCAGGGGAAACAGTGTTCGTCAAACCTGAGTTTTGCGGGGTTCCTCGTACTTTGGTTTTATGACCCAGTCGTGTGTTTAAGAACGAACGGCTGGAGGCAGGAATGGGGACTACAGTCCTGATGAGCCGCCCCCCTCCCCCCCCCGCCTCGGACCCCGCTGCGTTCCAGGGCTTTTTATGTCCCCTTTGCCAACAGCTCTGCCGGATCGCCCCACCTTACGGGTTTAAAAACATGATGGTCTGAACCTCGGGTGACAGACCTTGCCCCAGGTCTCAGGTCCTAGCCAGGGTCCCCAGCTGACACCCGAGGCCCTCCCATCCTGACCCTCTTACAGTCTCTCTGGGTGTCGAGGGAGAGAAGGGCAGCTGGGCTACAGCAGACTGCGTATCCTCACGTGGTTTCCAACCGGCCCCCGACCTTGGCCACCGCCCTCTCCCCCATGCCCCCTCTCCACCCCCCTCCCCCTCCCCCAGGCTCAAGGAATGAGCCTGTAGGCAGGGTGAGCCGCTGTGGCAGAGGTGGCCCAGCCTCCGTCTCCCAGCCCCTGGACCTGATCACTTCTGTGAAACCCCTGAGGTCACACAGGACCTCCCACGTCCTGGGCACGGTGTGCTGGCTGGGGGACGGCGGACACCCCTGCAACCACACTCCTGGGGCTCAGTGCCAGCAGGTGCCACACGGTCCTCCCAGAAATGTCACTGTCGTCCTTTTTCGTTTGGTTTTTCAGTCACTGGGAGGATCGACTGTGAATTTGTAAAGGCGAACTTAGGAAATGATTGGAAGACGTTCATCAGGTTAATCGGTCTGGAGGAAACGGACATTTACAGTTGCGAATGTGAAAATCCAGGCAATGTGGCCGAGCAGCATCATCAGATGCTCTTTACGTGGAGAAAGAAGCTGGGCAAGAAAGCTTCTGTTTTTAGACTCTTGGCGGCCCTCCATAAATTGGAGCTACATATGTATTTGCAGAACATTATAAATAATCTAGTAGCGGAAGGTATTTTAGGAAGGCTTGTAGAAAACCATGAGACCTCAGATTAGAGTGAAATCTCGGGACTGGATTGTGTCTTAGGACTCTAGAAGATTTGTATTTTATTTTTGTTCAGTGTATCTTATTATAAACTTTTTATTTTTTTATTTATTTTTTTAAATTTATTTCTGAGAGAGCGAGTGTGAGCAGGGGAGGGTCAGAGAGAGAGGGAGACACAGAATCGGAAGCAGGCTCCAGGCTCTGAGCTGTCAGCACAGAACCCGACACGGGGCTCGAACCCACAAACCGTGAGATCATGACCTGAGCCAAAGTTAGACACTTAACTGACTGAGCCCCCCAGTTCTCCCTGTTAGGAACTTTTTGAATTCCGGATGGGATATTCTTTGAATAGATTTCTACAGAATGTTTACAGTCGGAGTGGTCAGTTCTACATGCCGAGCACGAGTGTGTCTCTGCCCCGTAAGGGAGTCGCGGGGGCTGCCTAGGGCCTCGTCCTCCTGGGACTCCTGTGCGGCATGGGTTTGTTGCAGGGTGTTCGCTTCTGGCGTTGGGGAGATTCACCATCCTCAGCCCTCTTCCTGGGTGCTGAGGTCCAGAGGGTTTGACTCTCATCCTGCCATGACTGGCTCCTCCGTGTCCAAGCTGCTGCGATGTCCTTGTGATCTCGAAGGGGATCCCTATGTTGACTCCAGAAATAGGTGTGAGCCACTCAGTGACCAGGTACCTGTTCTTGGCGGCTGAGTGGGATCATTGCTGAGGCCTTTAGCTGGAAACCTAGACCTTGGCTTGCCTTTTCAGAAAAAAATATTTTTAGGGGCGCCTGAGTGGCTCAGTGGGTTGAGTGTCCGACTTCAGGTCACACCTTGATCTCCCTCCATATCAGGCTCTACCAACGACTCAGACTCTGGAGCCTGCTTCAGTGTCTGTGTTAGGTTTTGTTCTTTATTTTTTAGTTTTTATTACTGTTTTTAAATGTCTTTATTTTATTTTGAGAGACAGCGAATGAGCAGGGGAGGGGCAGAGAACGAGGGAGACACAGAATCTGAAGCAGGCTCCCGGCCCTGAGTTGTCAGCACAGAGCCCGATGCAGGGCTCGAATCCACAGACTGTGAGATTATGACCTGAGCCGAAGTCGGACATTTAGCCAACTGAGGCACCCAGGCGCTCCTGTTCCTTATTTTTACTTAATAAAATTCTATTTCAAATAGTACTTCCTTCTTTTATTTCCCGGGGGGGTACACAACCTTATGAGTAATATCTTTGGGAGAGAATGTCATGCATGGGAAGGAATGGACCCCAAGGATGTGATTTGCCACAGGGAGGGGCTCTGGAACTGTCAGTGGCCTCAGAATGTGATCTCTACCCTGCCCTCCTCGCTCACCCCAAACCTCACCAGATTAGCCTGCCCATTTCCATCCCTCACCAAGCGTCTTCGACTTCCAGTTCATCGTTAAATACTACAACCACTCAGTCCAGAAACTGAGGTGTCCTCTCAGACAGAGATGGGACACCACCAACTCTCGTCCCCCCTTGCTGCCGTGTCCCAGGGTCTGCTGCTTCCTGTGGCTCCCCCAGGCCTGTCTGCTCACCCTGCTAATCCAGGCCGCCATCCGCTCTTACAGACTGTTGGAAGGCCTCAAGTCGTGCCTTCCTCTGGCTCTTCCTGGGTCTGTTCCGCTAGCACCTGGCGGTTGCAGTGAGTCCTAAAGCACAAACAGCCCTGCCTGGTCCAGTCTAAACCCTTCAGGGGGTCCGTGCCCTTCTTGACTTTGCTTACAAGATGCTTCAAAAAGGTCCAGGCCTTGGGCTGTGCCTTAAGCCCCGCCTCTTGCCAGGGCCGCTCCAGAGCATCTCTGCTAAGGGTCATGTTCTCAGGGGTGTGCTTTCTGCTGGGTTCATTTGCAGGACGGTACCCTCTTCCCACTCATCCTGAATCCCATCTTCTAAGTTTCCTTCGAACTAGTCCTCCATCCAGGCCAGCACATTCCTGTCTCGGGGAGGCGGGAGGTGAGGGGGTGGGGAGGTGGGGGGTAGGGTCCCCGCACCACTTGGTACAATGCTAACTTAAACAGGCACGCATGAAGTCTGTCTTTAAAGCCGGTCTCTCGAGGCAGGACTGCAGTATTCTTCCCCGGCCCCCAGCCCCACACACCTCCGCCAAGCCCCGCGCCCATGCTGGCCCCGGGCCGCCTCAATGGTGCGGACGTGGAACGCGCACCTCCGGGGACGCCCGGGGACCACGTACGCGGTGCGATGACTACAACTCCCAGCATGCCCTGAGACGGCGGCGTCCGGTGTCCGCGGCGGTTGCCTAGCGACCGGGCGTGTCCCGGAAGGTTGCCGGAAACTGGGCGGGACTTCCGGGGCGGTGGTTGCATCAGATTCTGGGAAGCCGGCGCCGCGGCTGCTGGTTTGTAATTCCTACGATGTCGGGTTCCACCGGGGAGCAGGGTGAGTGCGCGCGGGGAGGCAAGCGGGGCGACCCCGGGCCTGAGGGGCGGCTGGTTCCGGGGCGGGCGGAGAGCGACCCCGGGGCGGAGGGGGCGGGCAGGAGGGAGCGACCCCGGGCCGGAGCGAGGCGGGTACCCGGGGAGCGCGGGCGGGGGGCGACTGCTGCCCCGAGGGAGGCGGGTCCCCGAGCTGGGCAGGCGGGACGACCCCCGGCCCGGGCCTGCGCTGTCCGCACTTCGCTGGGACCCGACTTGGCTCCTGGCGGCGCCGCGGCCACCCCCTCCTCCGCCTCCGTGCCCCCTCGGGTGGGGCCCGGGATGACCTCGCCCCCTCCAGCCGCAGCCGCGCTCCGGCGACCGGAAGAGCCCGGGGGTTGTTGCGGTTTGCGCCCAGCCGGGCAGCAACCCGGGGTGGGCGGGAGACGCCGGGGGTACGCGGACGCACACATGAAACGCGTGGGGTTTTACGACGGCTTTCATCTGCGGCTCGGCCCACAGTGGTCATTGGGATCTGCGTGCCCGGAGCGTCATTGCCCCACTTTACTGCCGCCGCGGAGGCTCCGGGAGCAGCTCTGGCTCTGCCCGCCCGGGTCACTGATGTCACCAGCGGGGAGACCTCCCGAGAGCACGGGGTCTTCTCCCACCGCCGCGCAGGCAGCCTGCCGCTGCTGGCAAGACAGAGGCTGTCACCGGGATTCCCAAGTCTGGAGCGAGCTTCCCGCGGGAAGCGTTCTGAGCGTAGCTTGTATGCTCTTGGCTGGGGAAAATTACCTGCCAGTGTGCCAGGCGGCCCACAGTTTGGGCTGCGCAAGGCCTTCTTGGCACCCTGTGCGCCTCTTTGCTCCTGAGGCCTCCGGGGCTCTAAGTGGGGTAACCCACCCACTGTCGGGGCTGCCGTTCCACACTAGCACCCACATACCTGCACGCTGCCTTTCACCCAGCAGGCGTGCCTGGATCCCAGCACTGTCCCCACCTGCCATCGAGGCACACGGCCCTCAGATGTCCACCCAGACTCCTGTAGAACAGCAGCATGCAGAGCCGGTCCGGCTGGGCCAGGGTCACGGCTGGGCCGCTTTCTCACAGCACACAGGGGTGACGCGTGCTGGCTCAGGGGATGTGGCCCCTTAAAGGGAAGGATTTAGAGCAGCTCCTGGCACAAGATCGGTGCTGTGTGTCTGAAACTGGACCTTCTTTCTTGCCTTTTTTCCCCTTAAGTTTAATTTTGAGAGGTGGGGGAAGGGCAGAGAGAGGGGGGAGAAGCCCAAGCACAGGGGGCTTGATCTCACAGAGCACACGGCACTCCATCTCGCAAGCCATGGGGATCATGACCTGAGCTGAAATCGAGTCGGATGCTTAACCGACTGAGCCGCTCAGGCGCCCCCCCTTTATTCTTTTTATTTAATGAAAGCATGGTTTTGATTCATTTGTGAACATAAACGCCATATTGGCTTTTTTTTAAAAAATATTTTTATTTATTTTTGAGAGAGAGATAGAGGCAGCATGAGCAGGAGAGGGTCAGAGAGAGAGGGAGACACAGAATCTGAAGCAGGCTCCAGGCTCTGAGCTGTCAGCACAGAGCCCGACGCGGGGCTCGAACCCACGAACCATGAGATCATGACCTGAGCAGAAGTCGGATGCTTAACCAACTGGGCCACCCAGGCGCCCCACATATTGGCTTTTTAAAAATAGTTTTTATTTATTTTTGGAACAGAGACACAGAGCATGAGTGGGGGAGGGGCAGAGAGAGAGGGAGACACAGAATCTGAAGCAGCTTCAGGCTCTGAGCTGTCAGCACAGAGCCTGACGCGGGGCTCGAACCCACAAACTGTGAGATCATGACCTGAGCCGAAGTTGGACACTTAACCGACTGAGCCAACTAGGCGCCCCTGGCTTTTTCTTTTAATTGCTTTAGAATTTGAGGTTTTTGGAAACTTGGTAGGCATTGGCCAACCCCCAGGATGTCTGGACAGCTGGTAGATTTTTCTAGTCCTGTGCTTTGGGGCAAAACTTCCCAGCCAGTGCTTGGCCCCAGGGCACAGCCCACCTGCTCTTCCTTTACTGTCCCCCCCACCTGTCCCTGGGCTTCCCCCAAAGACAGCAACCTAAGACCCTCATCCTCTGAAGAAACAGGAAGTAAAATGAAATAGGGAAGGCTTTATATTACGTACTGGAGTCGTAGATGCGCTTAGTTTCCAGTTCCTGAAAGTTTTTTGCTCTGGAAGTTAGATTCATCAAAAGTGACCATCTTCCCAAATTCTGTGAGGAGACCTGCATTTAGAATTTTCTTCCCAATTCAGATCATCTTCCTTGATTTGATTCAGAACATCTGTTGCATGGTGATTACATTGGGTTTACAGCTTCCCCTTTGTGGCTTGAAAGGACGCCCCCCCTTCAGGTTCCGCTGGACCCCTCCTTGAGGACCCTGGGGGCACAGTGCCCCTCCGAGGCCTTGCCCTGCACACTTGTACTCCCTGGTCGCTTCATGTTAGGTCAGACTTGCTGTTTAGTGTCTCATGCAGCAAAGGGTCTCCCTGATCATGGCCTAGCTCGCCCTGTTCTCAGCGTGCGTCTCTTTCAGGCCCCGGTGTGCCTACACCTGTCACGGCCTTCGGTCCTCAGGGTGACTCCTCGTGGTGGATTCTGCCCTCGTGTTCCTGCACAAACGGAGTACCATTCAGGCG